CTACACGTCAGTCTTCGGGGTGTGGGTGAGGACAAGTTAATATGTCAACCGCTTCTAACAGTGCCTGCCTATCCGCTCATTTGTTCCCCTTCCCAAAGCCAAGTGTCAGCTCCAGGCCCTGCTCCCCATTCTGCAACAGTGACTATGCCGCACTCTCCTCCCCGAGGGGCCCTTCCTGCTCTCCTGTGCTCTGCGGGCTGTTTCTTGGTAACTGCCAAGGGACCAAAGATTCTGGATGAACCTGGATAACTCCCACCAGTGATCAAAATTTTCTCTTGAGAAACAAAAATTGTGTATGCATTCTAAACATCTGTATAACACTTTTAGCTCACAATATGGCCCACACTGATCACCAACTCAGAGACTGCTGTATCCACTAAAGAGAAAAGGCCTCTGAGGTCTGCTGGGTAACCTACCCTACCCCAGGGCTAGAGGTTACATGAGGAGTTCTCAAAGTAAATTCTTATTCACCCCCAGCACTTTGCAAACCACACCTTGGGGTAATTCTGCCATGCCCTACCCCCCAAAGACCCTCCATGGAGATGTACGACTATGAGATGCCAATTACTGCTTGATCCCGGGTCAGCTAGGCACTGTGTGGAGGGGTAACTTGCCTCATGCAGTGACAGGCACATCCCAGGGGCCCTCCTAGTGCCTGGCATGCCAGGCGCACAGCAGTAGAGAGGGAGGAAGAGAGTGGATGACGAGAGGGAGCGAAGGGTCTGCAGCAGCAGTGAGGCCGGGCCGCAACGTGGCAAGAGGGCTCAAAATGGATTATGCCCTGTTTAACTTTAGTCAAGGAGGGTTGGCGCCCCGTTATTCAGAGGCTGAACAGCTTTAGAGAAATTTGACAGAGAAAGATCCAAACTCTATGAAACCAACCCAGTTCTACACTCACGGACCACTGCCCCAGGTGTGCTCCCTCCTCTGCTCACCTGGAAAAGTACTGGTGACTAACCTGGTGAATTTGCACATGGTAGCAGCCTGGAACTTCCAAGCCAAGAGCAGCACTCGAAATTCCGTGGGGTCAACACAGAGGTCATTGCAAAAGCGCTCCATGCCTTCCTCCAAAATTGCATCCTCCCGCTCATCCTTGTAGCGCCTGAACAGTTCCTCCAACCTCTGCAAGGAAGACTCCTCGGCACTGGACTTGGGCTCCCTCCCAGCATCTCCTGAGGACGTGGGCAGCTGGCAGGCTTCCGTGGCAGCCTCTGCCTTCTTGGTCCCATTGACGAGGATATCCCCACCTGGCTTGCCACAGGCCGGTGGCTGTTCCTCGCGGTGGCCTGCACCTCGCCTGTTGTGTGACTTGCTGCTGGGGTCACGGTCTCCATTCTTGCTGCCCAGGGTTGATGAGGGATTCTTGCACTTGGTGACACACTGGCCCATGGTACTGGTGGCCTGGCCTCTAGAGCGGTCCCCTCTGGATCAGAAGTCCTCGCTGCCACCGGCCCTTGAATCTCAACATGCCATCAGCCAGAGGAGCCAGCCAACCTGGGAAGAAATGAGAGAGCACTCACCGCTGGATAGAGACAGGACATGCAAGCTCTCTCCATGGACTGGACTGCACACTGAGCCACCACAAACCAGGAGAGACTCCAAGTTCATCACCACCTCCCTTGTAAGCCCGCTCTATCCCTTCACCTTGGAAATGCAGTGGCTAGAGCACATATGGAGAACCAATAAAGACAATTCCTAACATTCTTATAGCAGCACAGTTTACCAAGAAGAGGTGGCTCATGTGCAGAATGCATCCAGGAAATCTACAGTTTGCCAGAAATATTCCAAAGGAAATGCATCTTGCCCACTGGCCATCACTTGAGAGAGTTATTTGGACTCAAGTGAAGCCAGCAGGGGCACATACAAGGTCCATCTTCTGGTCTCTAATGCTTAAACCCTGATTTCCTTTTCAAGCAGGGAGAAGGGGTGGCCACACCCACACCCCTACAGTTTCAGAGTGGCCTACAGACGAGGTGAAGGGTTTTCACAGTTAAGACTGCAAGCAGAGTCCTAGCCAAACAGCAAAGTACAATGTGTGGTTTCTTCAATGTCCTTTCTGGGACTCTCCCATGGAACAGGTGAAACGTCCTCTCTCCCGCCTTAGTCCAGGCGAAGTGCCCAGGCCCCGCCCCAGGTCCTCTGACCGGTGGTATAGAGGAAAGTGGGGCCACGTTCACTAAATATGAATGCTGGTAGGCTGCATTCAAGAGGCTGTCTCCACCTTAAAGGAGGGCAGATTTACCCAAATCCAATTTCTAAATGGAAGGATAGCTGCTACATGAAAGAGAGAAGTCTGCATGGAGACATAGCAAACTCACCATGGTGGTCTATTACCTATACTAGAGGCCCAATGCACGAAATTTGTGCAAGGGCCTTGGCCCCGGACCCGCCCGCTGTTGCCACCACCGTGGCCGGGGGCCTCTGCTGCCTCTGCCTTGGCCCCATAATTAAAAAGGTGTTTTTAAAGAATTGCTAGAAATTTCTGGGCCAGGAGTGAGGTGATTTCTCTGAAGACCTTGCCTACTTAGGACTCTTACTTTCAACTAGTCCACTAGAAGATCCATCTACAATTTAGCATAGGCCCCCGACTTACGATGGTGCAAAGCAATATGTATAAGAAATGACATGAGACAACACCTTGCTGTATAACAGGCTTTGTGTTAGATGATTCTGTGGACTCCCGGAAGTGTTCTGAGCACGTTCAGGGCAGGCCAGGCTAAGCTACGATGCTTGGTAGGGTAGGTGAACTAAATGCATTTAGACATGATATTTTCAGTGTGCAAAGGGTTTATTGGGACATAACCCATGGTAAGTGCAGGAACATCTGTACTCAGAAAATATTACCACCTGCTACCATAGCTGCAGCCACGGAAGGCACAGTGCTCACAGGACTTAGCCACGAGCCAGAGTCTAATGGGGAGGCGGGCCAGCCAGGTCCATGCCCTGCCTCTGCTCTAGGAGAGCTCATGGACCTCCAGGGTCCACATTCCAGCTCAGGAGGACGCAGTGGGGCAGAGGTTCTTTTCTGAGGCTGGAGCTTTGTGCTGTACGGAAAGGACTATAGCTTCCTCCGAAAAGCGCCTGGAGAACTCCACTTCTCTTCAAAAGGAGCTCTGAGGCCTCAGAACGTGCATGTTTAAAATGGAGACCAGAGTCACTCCTGCAGTTTCTGGAGACTCTGTGTCAGGGCGTGTCCCATTCTCCACCCCCAAGAGGACAGAGGAACAGAGACGTGTCTATACATGCCCACAAAGCCTCCCAGTTTCCCCGGCTTCAAAATCGCATGGAAACCACAATAAGGGTTTAGTGTGGAAAATGACACACCACGTAAGTATTTTTAAGTCTTTTTATGCTTTGAGAATAGTATAGCTACTAAGACATAAGCACAGCCTATTAAACATTTAAAAGGGAAAGGGCTAATTCCTGGAAGACCTGCATTCAAGAGAAGCACCTATTCAAGCTGAATTACCTCAAAACAAGCAGGACTATGCCATGGGAGAGCCTGATCTCCAGATTGTTCCTAAAGGCTAGAGCACTGACAGACACAAAAGGCCCACACTCCCCCCGCTCACCGCCTGCCCTGCCGGCTCCAAATTCCCCGGAGCACTGACTCACCAGGCGCTGCTCCCGCCTGCGCAGGGACACCCAGGTACCAAAAGGCTGAGAGGGTTTCCTGGCCTCCATCTGACCCACTTACTCCAGGCCCCACCCTCACCCCCACCAAACAGACGCTTCACTGCACAGCTTCCTCTAAACCTGGCGCCAGGCCTTCAGGTAGGAGGGGCAAAACAGGAGGCCTCCCAAAGAGGTCCAAACCACTGACCCACCCAGCCTCCAAGTTAAGAGCACCTCTGATGATCTGACATGGCAGAATCAGCTGAAACCTGAAGGCTTTAAGATGCCGAACAGATGAGGAAAAGGAAAACCAAATCAGCACAAGCCAGCCTCACATTCCTTCTTCCATTCTGTCTTCCTGGCGGAGGGTGAGGACCCCCTCACCCCGATTATTCACTGCGCTCCTTCCTGTTATGGCTTCCTTTCTTCAGGAAACAGTGCTGCTCTCAGAGCCTGCCCCGGACTGCTGTGGGGCCCAGCCCCGCGTCCCTGGCAGGCCCTACTTCCTTTAGGTGTTTTATAGCTGAAAATTTCCCCAAGCCCACTAGCTGTTGGCGAATAGCTAATCAGAGTTATCAATTACTGACCACTGGCTATCATGCCAGGCACTATGTTGATAAGCACTTTATGGACATTGAAACTCATATCCTCATCACAACCCACTTAAAGACAGGGAAACTGAGGCGCAAAGCAAATCACCCAAGATCACAAGCACAGAACTTGGTAGGTGTGGCTTGAGAAACCATGACCCCTACCACCAGGCCACACTGCTGTGCCCCTATGTCAGTGCATCTAGGGAAATACTCCCAGCAGATAGGCCCCAAGCGTGGGAGTGTTACCACGGCAACTCCAAAGCAGCACTCTTCCCGCCAGCCAGCCAGCCAGCCAGCCAGCCAGCCACTGGAAAGGGGGCATGTGGTCTGTGCCCACTGTGCTAAATGGGCATCCTAGCCACGGTCCTCTCCCAGGCGAGCCCTGCCCTGCCACGGTGATGCAGGTAGCCAGATGCCCTCGGACTCAGCCTCCCCAGAGGTGGGGATTGAGTGAGCCCATCAGCATGGCTCAGAGCTCCAAAGCCCAGCTCTGCCATCGCTTTTTGACCCTGAATTTCCTCAGCCTGCAAAATGTTCATCGGCCTCACTGTAAGGAAATGCAGACAGAGACCTGTCACACACTGCCCCTCGCAAAGCACTTGGAATGACAGCTAAAAACAGCCAAGCAGTATCTGGTTAGCCTAACACAGCCGTGGGCAAACTCCGGCCTGCGGGCTGGATCCGGCCCGTTTGAAATGAATAAAACCAAAAAAAAAAAAGCCCGTACCCTTTTATGTAATGATGTTTACTTTGAATTTATATTAGTTCACACAAACACTCCATCCATGCTTTTGTTCTGGCCCTCCGGTCCAGTTTAAGAGCCCATTGTGGCCCTCGAGTCAAAAAGTTTGCCCACCCCTGGCCTAACAGAAGCCCTGGCTTGTCCCACCTGGACAATGGGCTCCATCCAGGCTTCTGCTTCCCAGGCCCAGCCAGGACACTGACCCCTGCCTCGACCCATACACTTGGGTCTTGTTCAAAAACAGTCTCTCAAACCACAGCACTGATGCTGCTCCAAGGCACCACTGCCCAGACATACCTGAGGGACCAGGCTCTCCATGGAGTAGGACAAGCGAGGTGTTTGCTGTGCCCTGTGACAGTCTAATCACTGGTCACTCCCTGTCCAGTGGGGTGAGCTTCCAGCCAGCTCCAATTCCTTCCCTTTCCCCGTGGGCAGCTCCAGGATTTCGTCACTGTTTGTACTTTTAACGGCTCTCCTTCCCAGTCTGTCTCCGGCTCCATCTCTGCAGTGTCGGAGGGCACTGCAGACAGAGGCCTCAGTACAGCATCACTAATGAATATCACTGTGCGTGCTAGTACAGTGGTTGGCAAACCGCGGCTCGCGAGCCACATGCGGCTCTTTGGCCCCTTGAGTGTGGCTCTTCCACAAAATACCAAGTGCAGGCACACACGTACAGTGCGATCGAAACTTTGTGGCCCATGCGCAGAAATCGGTTTTCGGCCTGGGCGAGTCTATTTGAAGAAGTGGCGTTAGAAGAAGTGGGGGTGTCGGTCGGTCCGGCGACGGGAGACGCGGCGCAGGTGGGCCGCGGGATACGCAGTGCGGGGGAGGCGCGTGTGATTCATGCACGAGTTGAGTGAGCCAGTCAGTCAGCAGTCTCATGTGCAGTGGTTAGTGCTAGTTGTGTCCGCAAATCACGAGCGAGTGACAAAAGTACCGACTCGAAGCATACAGTTACCTGTATTTTTCCAACCAGCTGCAAATCCTACAGGTATTTTGTCATCAATTTCAGAATTGTAATTACTTTGTGTTGGTGGCTTTATTATTATAAAATGAAACATTTTTAGCAAAGGCCAGCTTAGGAATACCCTAATTAAGTTAATAACAATGTACCTACCTATATAGTTTAAGTTTAAAAAATTTGGCTCTCAAAAGAAATTTCAATCGTTGTACTGTTGATATTTGGCTCTGTTGACTGAGTTTGCCGACCACTGTGCTAGTATACTGTAACACACACATGCAGCTCTGCAGAGTCATTACCCCCATTTCATAGGGAGAGAAATGGAGGCACACCAGGGTCAAGGAGCTTTCGAGGGAGGAACAGGGGTGAATAATCAAGAGGTGAGCTCTAGGGGTAGACAAATCTGGGTCTGGATCAGGGGGACCCCAGCTGTGTGGCTGTGAGCAGGTAAGGAACACTGGACAGCTGGTGCAGTAAATGAGATCATCCCCCATGTCAAAGCCTGTCCAGTGCCTGCTCACAGGGAGTACTCAGCGACCGTCGGCCTTTATTACAGCTGTTCCTATCAAAACGCCAGGGGCAGAGTCATGCCTCCCTGCAGAGCAGTGCCCTCTCGGCAGCCAGCCCAGTTCTGCGGGGGTGGGGGCAGCGCTGCAGGGACCTGGACAGCGCTCTGGTTCTGCAGTGAGTGACTGTCCCCTGCCTCCACTAAGTGGCAACACTGAGTTGAATGGAGCAGGGACAAGGAGGGTGGGGAGAAAGGAAAGACAGGAAGAATAAAAACCACCTGGGCAATACCTGCAGACACAGCTGCAGCTGGGGCCACGGAGGGATGGAGGGCAGGAGCCGCTCAGCCTCGGCTGGACCAAGATTAGCCCCAGCAGCCCCTCCCTCCTTCCCTGCACATCAGCCTCCAGCCCCCCTTCTCCCCATCAGCCTGGCTGCTGTTCCTGGGGATGGCTCAGCCAGCGGCCTGTCTAGCCCCAGGCCCGGCGCTGGCACTGCTAGGCGGGCAGTCCC